GTGTGTGTGTGTGTGTGTGTGTGTGTGTGTGTGTGTGTGTGTGTGTGAAGGTGTACAATTTGTATGATAAAGATGAAAACGGAAGGGGGATTAAAAAGAAGAAAGAAAAGTAGATACTTCCTTACTTGGAAGCCTTTCTGGTTTTAGCCCAATGATGGTTCCACCTTAAGTGTTTGAGCTTTGTCATTGCTTGTCTCCCTGACATGTGCCAGTTAGAGAACTGTCTGGTATCCGAGACGATTAGTTTATATCAGGTCCTCAAGTTGCCTCTGACTTCTTACCACAAACGAATCATTTTGATTTCAGTGCCTGTTGGGGACTTGATTTCCTCTCTCTCTCTCTTTTTTTCTGAACCTGGCTCATTTGAAATCTCTCTCTCAACCATCCCGCTAAGTTATTGCCAAGAAGGGAAGGAGACATAGGGATTTGGGGTTCCCTCTGCTTGAATGTCTTATCCTCTACCACCTCACCTTACTGGTACCTCCCTCCCTGGATCTCTGAGCCAGCAGCCAGGAGGACCTGACCCAGCAGTTCTTTTATTGGCCCCTTTGTAGGGTCTTGCTGCCAGGGGACAGGGATGCTTTCCAGCCTGCAGCAACAGAACACTTGACCTTAAAAGTCTCTTCTGGTCTTTGGATCAGAAAAGGCTTATGTTAGCGTAACTTAAGAGCAACCTCGGAGACTTGAGCCCTACTAAGTGACTGACCACTGTTGAGAGTATCTAGTACCTGATGTTCATTTATTTCCACATCCTTCCATGTCACGGTTCAACCAGTTTTGGTTTAAGCCTAGAGCTGCCCCAAGGAGCTAGACTGATTGTCTGTATCTGGCCCAGTGACGCCTCTCACTGACCTTAATAGCATGCCCTTTTTGTCCTTTCATTTCCTTGTCCAAGTCTCAGCCAGGTTCTTGATGTGACGGGGCTGAAAGATTGCCAGTCAGCCATAGTCCTGGCAGCTCTGAAGCCACCCTTAGCCTCTAAGTGTTTGCCTTGAATTCCACGGGAAAATTTCTGCAGGAAGTGAGGCTTCCTTGTTCCTCTCCTTTCTGGTCCCTGTCATCCTTTTCCCAGTTAGGGGAGCAATGAGGGAGGACCCAGCCAAGCTACAAGGAATTTTGTGGAAGGAAAGCCACAGGATTAGCTTATGCTTGGGCTGGAGCAGCATAGAATCTCAGGCCAGGCTCATCCTTTTACAATGCGTTTAATTTTGAGTTTGTCTCTTTGGATATGTTTTCCAAGAGCTCCATATATTTGAACTGCTCATTATGTGACAAAGTAAGTAGCCCTTGGGCTCATGTCCTGGGTTTTGGTTCTTAATGAGTTACTCCAAGTCAGCATTTAGTCCTTTGAGAGTCGTAGCCCTTTATTTCAGCTGTGACTTAGGCCTCGATACTTGGGTACTGAGTCAGGCAGCTGGACAGCTGCGGCCTGAAGCTATAATCAGAGGAACACTTCTGGAGTGCTTCATGAAGCTCCTGCGTTATAGGATGATGTCCTGAAGCCTTGGTCCTGGGACCACCTGCCTGGGGCAGTGGACATCCTGACTATTAATTGGGCTTCTGACAGGGGCTTCGAGTCCCATTCCGTCACAGCTCTCCAAAGCCGTAGGCTACTGCCAGTAGAGTAAACAGGATGCGGGAGGACTTGCTGCCTCCATTTTGCCTTGTTCATTAGTTTGCCTGGGTCTCTCTGAGGAAGGAGGGCTCCCCGCCTCCTCACCTCAACCCTTCCCTTCGGTGACTCAGAGTCTCAGAAGGAAACCCTGGTTCCTGGGGCCATTTCCTAACGGTACTGTAAGCCAAGCAGCTTTGCTTCTGCCTCTGTTTCCAAGCCCACCCTTTCCCCCTGAGCTCAGGGATAGGGACGGGCACTTTCCTCTTTGGTTGTGCCTGAAAGGAAGGAACATCTTTCTGTGGCTCACAAAAACTAAAGGGGAAGTGAGGAAACAGGAAGAAGTATGGGGGGGGGGGGCTGGGGTAGAGTCCCCTGGAGCCAAGCACACCCAGATCACAGAGCTGCCCAGGGCTGGTTACGGTTGGCTTGTGATGCTGAACTTGAAAGTTTTTGTTTTTTTTTTTGGCTGTTTCAAGATGATATAGGTACATGAAGTTTGGGTTAAAGGGGTGGGGATGGGGTACTCTTTATTTTTATTTTTGTATTGTGTATGTCAAGAATCACTCTGTTGTTCATCTTTTGCTTTTTGCACTGTTTGTCCCCACGTCTGTATCCTGAGCTGGTGCTAGGGGCTGAGAGGCTGCGCTGTAGGGGAGTCTGGCTGGGGTTGGGGAGGTGAGAAGTCACACCCATTAGGCATGGGGAAGGAGAGGCCTGGGCTCTTCTACTGGATCCATGCTTGTCCTAGGGTTTTAGATCTTCCTGAGCCCAGCTGGCCAAAGCCAAGAGCAGATAGCCAAGGTGAAACTCTTGTTGCCAGAAGTGTGGCTTGGGTTCAGTTTCCGGGTGGACTGGGCAAAGATGTCTGAGGGAGGTGGGCTGAGAGTCTGCAGTGTAGCCCTGATTTGGGTCAGGGACCAACTGGCCTCTAAACAGACTTTTTGGGGGCTTCACTCATTGCTGACGGGAACATCATGCCAGGAAACAATCTTTGGGACCCATGTCCCCTAAACCAGATACATTTTTCTAAAAAAGCCTCCACTATTGAGGAGAAGCTGCTCAGTGTTTACCTTGCATTCTGGTGACTTGAAAGGTGGTTCTCTTTGTGTCAGTGGTGTCAGATTGCAGGAGGACCACAGGGCCTGCAGGCCCACCTGTTGGTTTGAGAGTGTGATCTTGTTTTCTTGTTCCCACTGTTTGCCTAAGAGATACTGGCCTGAAATTGGAGGATCACAGTAGAGGTCACTTAGGCTTGGAAGAGATGGGGTGAAGTTTGAGTTAAGTTTACCGCCCCCTTTCTTTGCCTGGGAACTGTTTAATCCAGTTTTAGAATTGTGATTTGACTTCTTTTCTTTTTGGAGAAGCTTCTGTTTTAAGGAATTTCTCTTCCTCCATATCCTGCCTCTGCCCTCTCCTGGGAAGGCCTGGCCATGGCTTCTAAAATCTCAGTTGAACTTCAGAAAACAGCAGCAGTATTTTCCCTTTCCTAGCACTTATATTCCTTTCCCTAGAAATTGGCTCACCTTGGGAAGCACAGGGGGAGAATCAGCAGGTTCTTGACCCTCCCAGGGGATTGGGGAAGGACCCACCCGGTCAGCACAGTGCCTTGTCCTCTCCTGCTCTGAGCCAGGGTGGGCGTTCCCTCTAGATTCAGGTCTGGGCAGGGGGTCTCACAGTCCCTTCCTCCCCCTCCCCTTTGCTGTCTGGCTCTGACCTAATTCAGGTGTCTTCTTGCCTCGAGGAGCCTTAATGGCATCAAGTGGCAACATTAATACTGTCCTCCATGCCTCTCCAAAAGGACCTAGAAGAGCAGGTGAGCTTTCCAGAGTGAGAGACGAATAGATGCTCCTGTTTTCAAAAAACAAGTTGGGGAGGGAGGGTAAGCTTTGGGCCTCCATCCACTGTGGCCCCTGGGGAAGGAGCCTGGGGCGAGGCTAAGTGATGGTGCAGAAGCAGAACCAGAAACACCCAGGATCAGTTCAGAAACCAGAGAAGAAATCTGCTTTTCTTCTATGGGAAGATGTAATTAGGGATCAAATGCTCTAAGAAAATTGCAAAGAAGCCTTCATGTTCAAGCTTAGGAGAGATCAGAGTAATTTTTCCCTTTCAGTCTGAGCTAGGACTCTCTGTATTTATATCTCTCCTGGGGCAAGAGGGCTAGATTTCCTCATTTTGTTACAAGACTAGGTTGGCACCAGTGGGTCCGCTTCCCAGCGAGGGCGGTTTCTTCCCTGTACATGGGTGGCTTGCTGCCGCTGGTTTGTCCTTGCCCAGCTGTATTTGGCAAGCTGGCTGTAGGCTGCCAAATCATTTGGATAAGGGCAGATGATTTGGGGCCTGGCTGGGTTGGCAGGAAAAGAGCAGGATGGATCTCTTGGGACGGGTTCCCCCCTCCCCACCCCCCAGGAGTATAAAAACAAGGAGCCAGGATTGTGCTGGCAGCCTGGGAAACAGTAGTGCCTGCTGGAGTTGGCACAGAGGGCCCTGGCACCTCTCGCATCCAGGCAGTCTTGTGAGAGGGGAGCACGTAGCACCAGGAAAAGCAGAACTCCATCTCACCTCTATTCTGAGCTTCGGGGCTTTATTTCAGTACGAGGAAAAACAACAACAATCTGAAGTGCGCTTTCCGTCCTTTCAAAGGACAACTGTCGGGAAAGGAGGGCTGAGTTGCCAGGTGGGAGGGGAGAGTTGGCAGGGAGAGGCATTATGGCAGAACCAGGAATGAGACATCCTTGACTCCTGTCTTCCCTGGTGTGTCATGATCCAGGGAATGAAGAGAAATTTGACCCTGGATTAGTTCCCTCCTTGGATTTTCCTTCCACCAAATTCTCCCACGCTTGGACCAGCTGCCCATTCAGAGCTCAGGGCAGCCTCTTCAACCACTACTGGCCTAACCTGGCTCGTCAGGAAACCAACCCCACCCCTCTAGATCGGGCCTGGCTGCTCTATTCTGTACCCAAGTACTGGACGATAGTGTCAAGTTCTTAGTAGCCCCTGTAGCTCCAACTCTAGATTCCCATCCTCTCCCTGCAGAGGCCAAACCTACTCTCTGCCTGTAGCCACAACACGCATTTCCAGCGACACAGTGAGATGTGATTGAGGGGCTTTGAACCTGGCTGGCCCGGGAAAGCTGTAGGGGTGGATAGAGCTCTTTCCTTCTGGGCTGTCTCCATCTGTCCCTACCCCTTCCATGCCCCACCCTACTCCCACCAAAAAGTAAAAAAATCAGGATGTTTTTCACTGTCCATTGCTTTGTGTTTTAATAAACAATTTGCAGTGACACTCTGTGTTGGGATTGAGTTTGAACTTGATTGCAAAGAAGTGACGTGATGGGGTGGGAAGAGGGAAACCCAGGGGTTCTCTTGGCTGCTAAGGGTTCTTCCGTGATGAGTCTGGGAGCTTTCTTTTCTTTTCACCAGGATGTTTGGTTAAGGGAACGGAGTTTTGTTAAATGCTGCCTGGCCATTTCAACCAGCAGCTCATTCAAGGAAAAATAAACAGTTGTTATGTTTCCACTTTCACTGGAACACCAGGCCATGACACTTTCACTTCCAAGGCACACTGAGCCTGCTGCCTCCCCTCCCGTTTTCCCCTCAGCTTCCACAATAGCCTGTGGACAGACTAAGCCATGGGATGGTTTTCTCTGCTTTTTCCTTTTCTGATGTGTTGTCAGTGTTGACAAGGGAAGGGGCAGAAAGAGCAGGAAGGATTTTTTTTTTCCCTATAATTTATCCATCATGTTTTATAGCTGAGGAACATGAAGCTCAAAAAACTTTAGTAATTTACCCCAGGCTAGTCAGTAAATGATCAAGCCAGGATTCAAACCCAGTCTATTTGTCTGCAAAGCCCATGATCTTTCTAAGGCTATAAGAATAATAATTACAGATATCTTTTATTGAGCCTTTGAAATGGGCCAGGCACAAGGCCAAGCAGTTTTACAGATGTTATCTCTGTTTAATCTTCAACCAACCAGCTGGTACTTTTAAGAGGTGAGGTGACTTGCCGAAGACCACACAGCCAGCAAAAGGCAGAACTGAGGTTTTACACCAGGACTCTTGCTCTTAATCATTATTCTCTCCAGCCTTCCACTCCCCGCCTGATGCCATGTGCTGTGTTTCTCCAAGCAGGAATGGAGGCTGCTGGTTTGGGGAATGGGAGGGAGAGCTTGGCCTACCTCCCTCAGTTATCCCTTGAAGGGCAGAATTCAGTGCTCAGCTCTAAGAATGAAGCCTGTGTGGATGGAGTCTGTTCTCAGGGCCCAAATAAGCCAGGAGGCCCACAGAGCCTCATTCTTAGCTTGAACCCACCCATAACTGGAGTTCTTTACTAATTTAGACTTGGCTGTTACTATTTCAAGTAGCTTCGCATGAGCTGCCAAATGGGGAAGAGACCTGAAGAAGCCCTGCTCTAGGGACTCGCAGGGAGGGAAACTGTCTGACAGAAGATCTTGGGCCAAGTGGGGGGGGTTGGGTTAAACCACTCTTGGGTCCAGATCTTAATCTCACTAAGGAAATCAGGCTCCCGGTTGGCTGGAGCCGGTGTGTCGGACCTTTCTCCATACTTAGTACCCCATGCCCCTCCACCCCCCATAGAGGAAGAGAGATGAGTTTTTCCAACATTTACTGGAAAGCCTGTTGCCATAGCAATGGTGAGGGGTCAACAGAGGTGAACAGAGGTGAAGCACAGAGGTGTGGAGTGGGCAGGCCTCTGCTCTCTAGCAACCTGAGATGGTAGGCACCTCACCGCGGTACTCTGGCCCAAGAGTCTTAGTTTTGTTTGTTGCTAACCACTTATATTAGTGAAAAATAACCCCACTTAGTTTTTGGCTGGGGCCTTGTCCTAAGACTTCCTCTCCTGGGTTTTCTTACGGCTTCTACTTGACTCCGTCTGTTGCTTCCTCAAGCCTTGGTCCCCAGCTCATTTCCTCTCTGCTCTGACTTGACTGTTCTTTTTGGTCACCGCACTTTTCAATCCAGCTCCATGGCTTCTCCCTGCCCAGGGTGCCTGCCGTCAGCAGAGGGGTCCTGGAGAAAGAGGCCACTTAAATGTATTGTCATAGCGACCATTCATGAAACACTCTCCCTGGCGCCAGCAGAGTGCTTTTCGTTGCTGTTTTCATCTCCTTTTTAAAAAATTTATTTTATTTATTTATTTTTGGCTGTGTTGGGTCTTCGTTGCTGCGCACAGGCTTTCCATAGTTGTGGCGAGCAGGGGCTACTCTTCATTGCGGTGTGTGGGCTTCTCATTGCATTGGCTTCTCTTGTTGCAGAGCACGGGCTCTAGCTGCGTGTGCTTCAGTAGTTGTGACACACGGTCTCAGTAGTTGTGGCTCGTGGGCTCTAGAGCACAGGCTCAGTAGTTGTGGCGTACAGGCTTAGTTGCTCCACGGCATGTGGGATCTTCCTGGACCAGGACTCGCCACCAGGGAAGCCCTCATCTCCTCTTTACAACCCTAGGAAAGACCAGTGACTAGCCTGACTTATAAATAAGAAAACTTAGGCTCACAGGGCATAAATGACCTGCCCAAAGTCACATAACTGGTAGGTGGCAGAGTGAGGACTGGAACTTAGCTCTGTCTAACCGCAAAGCCTGTGCTCTTAACGTCATGATGTACTACTTTTAAGAAGGAACCTTTTGAATGTAGATAACTGAAGAAGCTGGGTGTTGGTTACGTGGAGGTTTATTATATTATTCTTTCTCTAAAAAGAAAGTAGCCTTTTAAGACTTAGTGATACAAAGTGCGTAAGTACGTTTTAAAAATCGGGGGACTTCCCTGGTGGCACAGTGGTTAAGAATCCGCCTGCCAATGCAGGGGACACGGGTTCAAGCCCTGGTCCAGCAAGATCCCACATGCCACGGAGCAACTAAGCCCGTGTGCCACAACTTCTAAGCTGCGCTCTAGAGCCCATGAGCCACAACTACTGAGCCTGCGTGCTACAACTACTGCAGTCCACGCACCTAGAGCCTATGCTCCGCAACAAGAGAAGCCACCGCAATGAGAAGCCTGCGCACTACAATGAAGAGTAGCCCCTGCTCACTGCAACTAGAGAAAGCCCGCACGCAGCAACGAAGACTCAACACAGCCAAAAACAAACAAATAAATAAATAAATAAAATATTAAAAAAAAATTTATATGGAGTGCAGAATGTGAAAACTCATCTTTCTTAGTCCTACCTCTTTAATCCCTAGAGGATATACAGGTGTATTATCTTTGGTGTATATCTTTCATTTTATATGTATTTATATATATTTATATGTACGTACACACATATTTACATAATATATTTGCACATGTGCAAGTGTGCCTTTAGAATTCCATTAAGGAATTACCGAATCAAACAGTATATGCACGGGACTTTCCTGGCAGTCTAGTGGTTAAGACTGCGCTTCCACTGCAGCGGACTCGGGTTCAATCCCTGGTCAGGGAACTAAGATCCCACATGCTGCGCAGCGCGGCCAAAAACAAAACAAAACAAAAAACGGTATATGCACTTAAAATTTTGAAAGTTCTGCCCTCAGCAAGGCTATGTGAATTTCCACCCACCAGTCTTGCGCTGTACGACTTTGGAATACGCCATGAATCCTTTTCGGAAACAGGTGGGATATAAATAATAAATTAATGCTTTTAAAGAACAGCCCTCAGCCAGGGAGAGAAGTGACTTGGGTACTATGGAAATCACTAGCTCTGTTTCCCAGACCACAAGGCCTGCCTGCAGTCCCAGCCACGACTTGCTGATTCGGTGGATGCCATCTTTAGGGAAGCAGCAGGAAGGAGGACTGAACTTCCCTGGCTCGGCAGAAAAAAGCCCTCTGATGTCCTGCTTACCTTGGCCTCATCAGCTCTGGGCCCCACCTGCCTGGCCTGATTTGAGGCAGACTGCCTGGCAACTCTGGGACTGCTCTGGAAAACAGCCACTGTCACACCTCTTACAGTGAGGAAAATAACCAGCTTAAGGAGAGGGACTTGAAGAGCACCAAGCTGCGGTGAAAGGGAGGCCAGCCTTTCCACTCCAGTCTTCCCACGTCTGGCCCAAGGAGACATTGGGGTTGCTATTTAATGCAGTCAATCTCTATTTTTCTTTTTCCACCCAACAGGGAATTAGTATATGTACTTTTCAGAAAACTTTTTTTTTTAAAGAGCCTTTTGACATACCTTAGAAAGATTTGGTGAGGAGAGAGGCAGATTGGAGGTTATGGCCCTAATTTTTCCTACTGCCTCTTAAAAAGGAATATTTAAGGATTTTTTCCTTTCTTTCTGTGTGTTTTCTATTCTCCTAAAGACATAATCTTTTGCTTTTTAACCACAGTTTATAGGTAGTGATCAGAGAGAGTACAGGCCTCAACTCCCTTATATGGCAGTATTTATTTAAAAATTTTTGAGCAGAAAAAAGTGATCAAGTTTGAGGTGGCTTTTAAATTTTAAGAGATTATAATAAGTCTCCTTTGACTTAAGAGTCTGCCTTCCAGATGCAGATCCTAAGTTAGTTAGTTAGTTTTATTTATTTATTTATTTAAAGGTATACAAGCAGCCCATGATCATATGCTTGTTGTGATAAAATAGTAT